TGTTATTGTTGATTTGTTCTTTAATCTACATTTTCTAATTCTGAAATACAAGCAGATTTAAGTAAACTTTTTGGGCAAAAACCATAATTATTGGTGACATGGGAGTGAATAATTTTTGAGAAAGGGCTGAAAAGATGATCTTTGTCAGAGTGATTATCTCTCAGCATGATGTCTTTGTTAGGATTTTGGGGCGTGTGAGAAGGTATTGGGAGCCCAGCCACGGAGAGTAGACAACGTCTACTTTGAAATGTAACTCTGCCACGTTTCTAAGAATCATGCGTAATTACCAGCAATTCAGTTTTAGACATTCTACTTCATTTTAATTGAGATCTACGTACTCAAAGCACAAGGATGACTTCTGAAGGTTCAGAGGCCTCCCTCACGTTGTTTTAAAACTTTGGTTTAAAACGTAGACTATAATAAGGAATGCTTTATGAATTCTGGTTGATTTTACACTGTCTTAGTTTTGCTGAGGGTTTACTCCACCTCGAAAACAGCTATTTCAAATAATTATTTATTTTGGAAGTCAGAGTTACAGAGAGAGAGAGAGGGAAAGAGAGAGCAAGGGAGAGAAGCGAAGATCCTCCATCTTCTGGTTCACTCCCCGGATGGCTACCGTAGCCAGCACAGGACCAGGCCAAAGTCAGGAGCCAGGAGCTTCTTCCAGGTCTCCCCCGTGGGTGCAGGGCCCACACACTTGGGCCATCTTCCATTGCTTTTCCCAGGCCGTCAGCAGGGAGCAGGGCATCGGGGCGGTTTTCTCTGCCCCCGACTTTCAGCACCCACACGCGGGGTGCTCGGGACTCAGCACTCTGCGGGTGCCTCCGCAGCACCCTGGGTGTGCCCGCCACAGCACCAGCGTTGCCCACGGTCCGTCTGCCCCGCCAAGCTTCCACCTAGCAGCCACATCGAAGGCTGTGTCTTCCCTTCTGTGACTATCACAGCTCTCGTGTGTGGGAAGCATACAGAAGCATTTGCTGCCGGGGCTAAACACCTGTGGTCTTTTCCAAGAGTTACTTAAGAGCAAGGCACGGCTGTTGGCACAGCGGGCCACTTGGGCCCACACGTGGGGTCCACTGCTCTGAGGGCTTACCTCCTGGTCTGCAGCTGGGAACCCACTGCCCACACCCCAGTCACTCCAATTTCACATACGAACTCCTCGCTGTTAGTCACTCCTCCGGAATGAAAGCGGGGGCGCCAGAGAAAACCACCCCATTGATGATTATTAAAAGCACCACAGCTTCTGGTCGAAAGCTTTCGGTTCAAGTACAAAGCCCAGCTACCAGCCAAAGGTCACTACGGCAGCCTTTCGCCCGTGCCATTTTTTTAATCGCTCCGCACTGACTTTATTTTTATCATTTGCAGTACCTATTTAAGTAATTCAGCCCACTCCATTATTCTTTAACAAATTTTTATCGATGATCTCTCTCAAGTACGGTATGTGGGTTGCTTGCTATTAGCTTAATGTCCTACAATTAATATCTTCTCGGTATTCTTTCTTCATTCAACAAGTAGTACTGGTAAGAGCCAACCCATCTTTTAAAGGTAAACCTTGTCCAGTTAAACTCAAGAATGAAATCACTGTAGATCTATTATTTCTGGGAACAGAATATTTCCATTTGCATAACATATTTTTCCCCTGACAAAGTGCCAGGAAGAAACGTCTCATGTCCACCCCTCACACTGCTCCTCCTATGGTATTAAGACGAGGGGGAACTGCCACAGTGGCCTTAAAACTATTATTCTCTCCCCCGCGCCCCCAGCCCCCGCTGATTTACAGTGCCGCGACTCTCTGAGAGCCAGGTCGCTGGGACGCTGGGGATAATGGACTAAGAGGGGTCTCCATGATGTCATTCCGCGCGAAGGAGGCCGGCTCACAGGTTGTGATACGAAGGTCAACGGCAGCGAGGATGACCCTCAAGTTGGCTGAGAAATAAAGGCTGGAGTCAACATTTAAGTAAAACCCAGAGCTGGGCAAGTTAAATGATCTATAAGCCGCAGGGACAAGTGAGTTAGCAGAACAATGGGACGGTAAAATACAAAGAGAAAGGACAGGTGCACCTGTCCGCGGCACACGGCGACACCAGGAGCAATGCTCGCCTCTCTGAGGCGTGAGCCGGCCTGGCCGCTGCCCTAAGGGTGAGGGCCTGACCTGTGCAGAAAGTGGGAGACTTGCATGGTCAGGAAGAGGTACTGTCCATCAGCCGCAGCGGGGCAGTGACTCATAAGTGTCCGCTTGACTGGCCCAAGGGTGGGCAGGCGTCGCTCCATGGCGGGTGCTGTGGCAGGAGATGAGCCTCTGGCCCGGGGGACGGTGTCCCCAGTGTGTGCAGGCCCCACCCAGTCACTCTGAGGCAAGCACAGGTGGAGAGGGTGACGCTACCCCCAGGGGACAGGGAATTCCTCCTGCTGATGGAGCCAGCCAGCTTCAACCAGAACAGACCAGGGCTCTGCTGGGCCTCTGGCTGGTTTCCTCACCCAGAGGTCCTGCCCATGTCCTCCGTTGGTGAGCCACTTCCCTCTCTCTCTCCACACACACACACTCATACACACATGGTGTTGGTTTATCGGTCCTGTCTCCCTGGAGAAACCTGGTTAATACAGCCGGGTTCACAAAGGGGAGGCCAGCTTGAAACCTCAATAAACCTCAATGGAGAAGCATCCCGCACGCCTTAGTGTGGCTGACCTCATCCCTGGGGAAAACGTCTCAGGGCCCGGCTCTTCCATGACACTGTAAGTGGGGAGGGGCTGGGGGCCAAGGGCATGGAGGAGCTGCAGGGTCACCATGGTGATGTCTCCTCTCCTTAATGTCCCAGGAAGAGCACAGGGTTTCCTGGCATCGGAGCCCGCTGCTGGGCCAGTTCTGCCGGCCTGGAGTAAAATCCTCTCGAGGCAGCCCCCGGCCCGAGGCTGCAGACCCTGGGTGGGCAAGGCCTGTGGACCGAGCGTCCCCTCTTCACTCACGCGAGCCCCCGCCCATCAGGTCCTGTTGCAGACAAACCCAGCACTTCACGCGGGCCTCATTGTCTGTGACAGCTGACGTTGTTTGTGCAAATGCTCCGTGAAATGTCAGAAAGCGTATGTACCATCTAATGTCAGAGCTGGGGAATACCTGGGAGATTATTTTAGTTCAAAATCCTTGTCGGCTGATGCGGATTTGTGTGCCTTCCTCCCAGCGAGTTAAAGCACAGAGGGCCATGCCGAGGGACACCTCTTTTATATGTGTTATGTGTTTATATATTATATATTTTCCCAGGTTCATAGGCTTTTTTAACTCCTTAAAAAATTAGGAAGCCCTCTTGGATTAGAGACTGGCCTGCACTTCACTGTGTTTCTCATATCAGTTAGGAACCACTGTGTGGCGGGGCGGCGGGGGGGGGGGTGCTGTGGGGCGGCAGGTTACGCTGCCTCCTGGGACGGCTGCACCTGCATTCAGGATGCCTCACCCGGTCCCAAAGACCACACTTCCCCTCCAGCTTCCTGCGGATGCGCACCTGGGACGCAGCAGCTGATGGCACAAGTACTTGGGTCTCTGCCACCCGTGTGGGAGACCCACATGGAACTCCAGGCTCTTGGCTTCAGCCTGGCCAAGGCTTGGCTGTTGTCAGCACACGGAGAGTGAACCCCTGGATGGAGGATCTCTCTCTCTCTCTCTCTCTCTCTCTGTCTCTCTCCCCTCCTCTCTCTGCCTTTCAAATAAACAGACATATACAGAATATAATTCTGAATTATTTCCTGTCATTTCTCAGTCATTTATTGTTCAGGAAAATCTTTCAAGCAGCTTAAATTTGTTCCCACTTTCTTAGAGTTCGGGAGACGGGATGCACTTAATTTGCTACCTGCCGGTTGTTTTCTTTGCAAATAAAATATGAGGGCCACTTCTGCATGAGCCTGTGCCTGCACTGAGGGGAAAGCTTTCTTCAACGCAGCACAAAGGGTTAGCAACCCACAGCCCTGCAGGCGAAGGTCTGAAAATCCAAGCTCAGCCAAGGGACGGGCCACCAGCTGTCCAGGGGTTCTCAGAAACTGACAGTTGTCTTCAAGAAGTGAACGCGTCGGGCAGAAACGCATCTGTGTGCGATGGAAGAAGTGAACGCGTCGGGCAGAAACGCATCTGTGTGCGATGGAAGAAGTGAACGCGTCGGGCAGAAACGCATCTGTGTGCGATGGGTTTCGGGTCAACGTCTCCCCTCAAGGGGGGCTCCCCGAGCTTTTTGAGAAGCAGAGGGAGGAAATGCACACCCAGCACGCCTCAGGGACAAGTGCAGGGAACCCCGGCGGCAGCGCACCTGCAGGGAACGGAAGAGGGTGCTGAGCCGAGGGGGACAGCTCCCGGGAGGCCTGCGTTGTGCCCTGCACCTGCTCGTGAGGCCGAGCCTGGACACAGCACTGGGCAGAGGACACGTTACTGGGTGTTAGTGAGCTCAGGGCTCTGCCTGACCCTGCAGCCTCGGGAGGGGGCGAGGGCTCTGGGTGAGCTCCTGAGCCGTCAGGTGGTGGGGACTGCCAGCCAGGCCCCAGGGCTCTGCCAGACTTGCTGTCAGAGACGCTGAGAGTCTGTGTTTACTCTCTGGAGCTCGCCATCCCTTCCACCCCCTGCCTGTGGAAATTCAGGATGCCAACAGACGGGAGGGTGGGACAGGCCCTCTTAAAAACCTGGCTGGTTTGGCCATAAACACCTGGCAGGCTGTGCGAGGCCCCAGCCAGGCGGCCCAGCCCCTCCCTGCCTGCCAGGCACTGGGGACGTTCCCAGGAGGGCCGTGACCCAGCGTGAGATCCACCACTGGCTGCCTTTCTGTGACGGGCAGGGAGCCAGGAGCCCCTCCGCTCCCCCAGGCCAGGAGTGGACCAAGGGAGGACAGAGGGCAGAGGTGCGGAAGAGGGATGGGGCCTGGCCTGGCTCCCAGCCTCCTGGGCGGGGCCACCTGGGCTTGTTACCATGGTGACTGGTTTCCCTGGTTACCCGGGAGCCTGCAGAACCACAGCCAGGCAGGGGCGGCTGGCGGGGAGGGGGCAGAGACGCCCCTTGGGAGGCCTGGCTGTCTGGGCCCTCAGGCCCCGGGGGCCCGCAGCAGAGCCCCACCTCCCTGGCTGGCGTGCAGGTGCCTGGCAGGGGTTCCTCTGGCCTGCACAAGGAAGGGCCCTGCTGCACGGCCACTCCCTGGGCCAACTCTAGCTCCTGAGGCCCCGGGAAGGTGGCTCAGGAGCAGCTGGATGAAACGGGGCTGCAAGAAGCCCCCGCAGACGCTTGCCCTGGGGAGGCAGCCTCAGGGTGGGGCGCGGAGCAGCCGAGACGGACGCCCAGGCCCTCAGGGCCCTGCTCCACCAAGCACCATTCATGGCTCGCCAGCTGTTGGTCCGCCCCTCCCTCCCCCTCTCTCCTCCCACAGTCTCTCCCCCTCCTTTTTCCCCACAGAGGTGGTCCAGGCCCTACCCCCAGGCACAGGCTGGTGTCCTCCTAACACAGTTGCAGAAGGAGTCAGCCAGCCATGGCGTGAAGAAGAGAGAAAAAACGTTCAACTATGCCGGTCTTTGCAGTTGATTTCCTGTGGCTCTAAAACAAAGGCACGCCAGGCTGGCTGTTCCGTGGCCGGGCAAGGGGTGGCTCACCTTCCACCAGGTGGAGGGCGCCGTCCACGGCTTGCAGTGCTGTCCAAATGGTGACCGTGTTACTGTGGAGGGTTGGATTCCTGTCCCTGGAACCCAAACACCTGTGGGTTGCTGCCCCACCCCCACACTTCCCGCTCCCCTCTGCAGTGGCCTTGGGCCACTGCTGCTTCCTCGGGAGGAAGCACCTTCCTGCGTGTGGTGGGCGGTTAGTGGAAACACTCGAGGCACCCCTGGGCAGGTAAGCTGGCACGTCCACACCTGCACCACTGTCCAGTGACACCCAGCTCAGCCACAGAGCAGCCGGGGTCTGCGTGGCCCCTGGGCAGTGTCTGCATTGGCTTCCCCGGGTGCCCAGAGTCTGGCCGGGAAAATGGGGTCCTGAACTAGCTGCTGCCGTGGGAAGCCCAGGGCAGCGTGCGGATCCGACTCTGGGATTCACTTCCCGAGCCGGCAAGGGGAAGGGCACGTGGGAAAACGCACCTTGGGAAAGCTGCCACGTGGGCATCTCTGCTTTTTGCAGCCACTGAAGACGTGGGAAGAAACTGAGCTGTGCCGCTGGCCACGTCCTGCAGGTCAGCAAAGCCAAACCATCGCGACTCAGCGGCTTCTGTCCACACCTGTGACCCGGGCGACCAGCCAGCGGGCTCTGCAGGGAGCAGCACTACCTGCCAATGCTGGACAGCGTCACCGATGTGCTCAGTAATATCCCACTAAAAGAGATCGTTACCGAGACGCTGAATCTCTGAGCAACAACCCGCAGGGCTGTGTGTCTGCGAGCACAGCCCTGGGCGACGGGCGGACGTCATCCAAGGCTCCAGGTCACCCAGGGGTGGTGAGAGATGACGGCCGGGTCGCGGCCGTGGAGCCTGCAGTGCCAGTGTCTTTGGGACACAGGCTGTCCTCTGCAGTGACGCCAGGTGTGCGACTCGCACCTGTGTAGTGTTTACACCAGCAAGCCCAGCTGTCTTCCCTCAGAGCACGTGGCACCTGCTCTGCCCCCCACACAACACACGGGGATCCCGCTGGACCAACCCCTGCCCAGGTCCAGCAGCCGCCCTGCGAGCGAGCAGCTTGAATGTTTTACCCAGGGTCGGTTTTTTTTTTTTATCAAACATGGGGTAATAAATGAGTATTTCTTTATCAATAAGGTAATAACTAAGCAAATTGCGAGAGACATTACTACAGGGACGCTACCATAGACTGAGAAATCCGGCCAGACCTCCGTAGCCGGAAGTGAGTTTAGGACCTGCTGACTTCCTCACACTCCCCGAAGCAGCACGTCCCATCTGTTCCCCGACAGGGCAGGGGGGCACGCCTGCTGTGTCGTTTTGTGGACAAAGCCCCAGGAGATCTGAAACGCTCACCCCTCTACCTGAGGCTTGCACGGAGGCAAGGTGCCGGCCTCCATCCCCACCTGCGGAGCGAGGACACAGGAGAAGCAGCGGCTGTGGCTGCGTGGAAGCCACTTCTAGGTCCAAAGAGAAAGCCTGTTTCGGTTGGTTTGTAACCACACCAGGAGCAGCTGGCCACACAAGGCCGCACGTCTGCACGGGAGACGCGGGTTTGTCCCCATACGCAAGCAGCACGGCAAGAAAGCACAACAGTGGAACCCCGAGTGTCCCCCAGCGCCCACCCGGGAACCCGTGTGACGTCAGCCCAGGCGGGCTGGCCGGGGCTGGGGGTCAGAGTCCCCAGAGAGCAAGAGCGTGGACAACGGGGCTAAGGCAGCCCGCGGGCAGAACGCGGGCCCTTCACTCCCCAGCAGGCCCGTGGGAGAACCGCCCGGCCCCAAGAGCTCACAGGCCTAATTAAGATTTTTTGAACCTGATCGAAACGTTAATTACTTTGCACAAACTGAGCAAACATATAGATGTCACATCTTATGGATGTGTCTTTCAATGGCTGTCCTGGGAAGAGACAGAAATTAAAACAGCACCTCATTAAGGAGCGCGCGCAGCTCTCTCCTCCCTGGCTCGCGCGGGTGTTCAGTCTCTACCGGCCGCTTTGTTTTCCTTTACAGCCAAGCGAGCAGGACGTCGTCACCCGGCTAACTGGCGTTCACCCAGCACGCGGCCTGCCCGGCACCTCACCTGTGCCCCGCTGCTGAATCTGCAGAACTCCGAGGCAGACGTTACCATCTGCCTTGCACGAGCGTCTGCACTGAGAGGCGCCAAGGATTCACCCTGAGTTACCCAGCCGGACCTCAATCAGTCCATGCACCCTCTTCTTCCTGCGCCTCCTCCCCTTGGTAGGAGGAGGCCACCATGACAGCCCTGCCCTGAGACGCACCAGGGACCCCACCAGCTGCCCCGAGAACGGGGACAGAGTTCCGCTGGCTTCTGTCTAACGTGACGCTATGTGCTAGGTAGGCATCTTGGGCATTGCTTGCCCAGGGGGTGTTTGCCCGTGGGAGGGGGAGGGGCTGCTGATGAATGGCCCACTGCCCTGAGGCCTGGAAACAGGATGCCCTTGTCGAAGCGCATTTGCCTTGGGGGAGATGCCTGCCGGGAGGCAACACTGGGAGGGCCCCTTGCTTCTGGGCCACTTCTGGGCACACTGGCGCTGCAGCCACAGGGGCCATCCTGTGTGTTTTGGTCTCATCGACTCAGATGGAGCCAGAGTTGTGGTGTAGCAAGCGAGTAAGGCTGCCGCTGGTAACTCCAGCATCCCGAATGGGTGCCGGTTCCAGTCCCGGCTGCTCCACTTTCGATTCAGCTCGCTGCTCATGGACTTGTAAGCAGAGGAAGATGGCCCAGGTGTTTGGCCCCTGCTATCCACGTGGGAGACTTGGCAGAAGCTACTGGTTCCTGGCTTTGTCCTGGTGCAGGCCTGGGTCTTTCTGCCATTTGGGGAGAGAACGAGCAGATGGGAGCAGATGGAACATGTCTCTCACGCTCTCTCCCTCTCCCGCTCTCTAACGCTGCCTTTCAAATACACAAGTTAATCTGATCAATCCCCAGGGCCTGATTGCCTTTCCTCTCCACCCCTGGACTCCCACGCCCGTGCCCTGCAGGTCCTCGGCAGAGCGCCCCGCTGCTCTCGTCCTGTGCCGGGGGCCCCTGCGAAGGCGCGCACAAGCCAGGACCCGTTCCAGAGAAGACCAAGGGTGGGCCTGAGGGGTCCCCATCCACAACACGGCCATGGAAGAGAAGAGGTTTCCTGAGCTGTGAGCGCCTGCAGGAAGCTGCCGGTCACTGCTTCAGTGCCCAAGGCCCACAGGGGACGCGTGTCACACACAAGTTCCAGCCAGCCAATCACAGCCTGGCAGCCACACGAGGACACGTGTCACGCACAAGGTTCCAGCCAGCCAATCACAGCCTGGCAGCCACACGAGGACACGTGTCACACACAAGGTTCCAGCCAGCCAATCACAGCCTGGGAGCCGCACGAGGACACGTGTCATACAGGGGCTCTGAGCCAGTCAGTCACAGCCTGGGAGCCACATGAGAACACATGTCACGCATGGGCTCTGAGCCAGCCAGTCACAGCCTGGGAGCCACACGAGGACACGTGTCACGCATGGGCTCTGAGCCAGCCAATTACAGCCTGGGAGCCACACGAGGACACGTGTCACGCATGGGCTCTGAGCCAGCCAATCACAGCCTGGCAGCCACACGAGGACACGTGTCATACAGGGGCTCTGAGCCAGTCAGTCACAGCCTGGCAGCCACACGAGGACACGTGTCACGCATGGGCTCTGAGCCAGCCAGTCACAGCCTGGGAGCCACACGGGGACACGTGTCACGCATGAGCACCCATCCAGCCAATCACAGCCTGGGAGCCACACGAGGACACGTGTCACGCATGAGCACCCATCCAGCCAATCACAGCCTGGGAGCCACACGAAGCTCGCACACAGGTGCACTGAGAGCCTGTGCACCTGCTTCACACGCAGTTCTAGCAACTTCGTGATTTGTTCTCTGGGTCTCGAGACCCCCAGATGCCATACTGGGTGGCAGGAGGATGACAGGCACGCAGGCAGCGGGGAGGACGGAGCCCAGGAAGTCGACGGGCAGAGGTGGACAGTGCGGGCAGAGAGAGCCGGTTCCAACAGCACCCGTGGGCCCGGGGGAGCAGGGCTCGGAGTCCTGGGGGACCGCGTCCTGACGGTGGGCCCGGCACGGTGGGGGGGCGGCTGCCGTCGGCCCCCGCTCTGTGGTTTTGGAGGAGCCGATGTGATAGTCTGGGGGGAAATGCTAAGAATTTCAGAACGCGAGTCGGGAGGGTGACGTCATTGGGGAAACCCCTTGGTGTTTCTCACCTCGTGGAACAACTCGGAGGCCTGTTCCGCTCACCCCGAAGCCCGTGGCAGCAGGCCTTGTGTGCGCGACTGCCTCGGTGGGCACGGGCACGCGGTCACGAGGGGCTTCACACACCATGGGCACGCGGTCACGAGGGGCTTCACACACCACGGCGCACGTGGCCGGCTGGCCTGGGAGCAGGCTCGTCTCCCGCCCTCTGCATAGACCATCACCCTGCTGAAACAGGGTCACTTCCCTCTCAAACTAAGCTAATGAGGGGAACAGAAAGTTAGTATCCGCGTTTGGGAACGCTGACCCCAGAAGCAGAACCTCAGGGAGCTCCCCTGCGTGGTTAACCTTGGCTCTGACCCCGGGAGCAGAGCCTTGTGGGGTGCGCCTGCACAGTGATGCCGTGAGAGCCCCCAGGGCGCTGGGGACTTGGCCATGACCTCGCCCGACCACAGGGGCCTGTTGTGGCCACCTTGTAGCAGCCACTGCATGTTTCCCAGGGAGTCTCCGCTTTGAGAATCCGCACTTGGAGTGTAGAGGGTTAAAAAGGACATTAGGACCCTAGGGAGGAAGAAAGTCTGACTCTAGGAGGTAAAGCCCGAGTTGGGTCAAAAGGAAAAGATCACCGGTCCTGCTGGCTGTGGTCCTGGTGCCGGACACCGCACGCCGGGCCTGGACCTGGAACCGGCCGGGCCTCCCTCACCGGCACGCGTCCGCCTGGCCTTCGCTGGGCGGTCCCTTCCCACGGTCTGCCGGCCCGTGATGGCCTTTCTCAGACTCGGGCTTGGTTGCCGACCCTGGCGCAGCCTGGCTGTGAGAGAGAGGCCATGGCTTCGATTGCTCGGGCCTCTCCCTGGCGCCTGCTTCAGGCTCGGTGCATTGTTGGGGAGAGTGTGTTCCGTGGCTGTAGCACAGATGGCTGCGTGGTGACCAGGAGGACGGGCGCACAGAACCCTGAGCCAGCAGAGCCCTGGATGCCTGGACAAAGGTCACACAACTGCGCCGGACCGCGAGACTACAGCCTGCAAGATTGGCTCAGAGCCCACTGGGGTCAGCCCTGGGAGGGCGCCCAGTGTTCGGACTTTGATCTCTGTGTGGCAAAGCTGCAGCTGTCCATCATCCGTGCTAGCCCCTGGGTGGCCTCCCGCACCGCTGTGGCTTGTGGGTAAGGGGGACTGCCACCTCCCTGCAGGTGAAGCCTTCCAGACAAAAGCAATGAGGCACGTGCTGTGGATTGGAAATGACATTCGATAGCAACTCGGGAAATACAGCGAAACATGAAAATCGATGTACTTTGTCTTGGATGTTATAACTTGAAAATAATTCCTAGAATAGAACTTTTGAGTCCAGATGGTATTTCTGGCTGCACATTTCCAGACATTGTTGTGCTAGTGAGCGTCTTTCTTTTGCCATATCCTCTTGTCGCGTGATCCTAAGATGCTCCGGGCACCGGCAGAGACGTCAGGTCTTCGGCCTTCCCAAGGACGCCGTCTTGCTCGCTGCTTGGCTTCCGTGGAATTTTCTGTAGAAGAGCCGACGGGCCTCCTCTAGAGCTAAATTGACAACGGTTCACAGCCGGCTTCTCTTTTTAAGTGCCTTTGTGAGATTTAAGCAATTCTCCAATATCACTTTTATTGATTTCTGGAAGTTCTATGCATTTTACAATATTCGCAATTTCTTTTTACAATTCGGTTGCATTTTCTTTGCACTGTATTGTCTGAACCTCCATTAATCATTCAGTGAGCGCCATTGACTCCCTGGACGTGAATAAACCGTGGAGGTAAGCAGTAACAACAGTCTGTAAGTGGTCAGTGTGCTAACCAACGTCCTATTCTGTTGACTCGCTTCTCTGTGCGGGTGGGGTTAATGGGCGTGGCCAGTGAGCAGGCTGCGCGCCGGGCCTGGGCCAGGAGACCCTTCCCCTCCTCACTGGCAGCACACACACACACACACACACAAGCTCCCGTCCTCTCACTGTTCAGCCCCCAGGAAAGCTCTGCTTCTGCCATTCGGTCTCCCCTAACCTGTCCAATCAGATGGATAGTCACTGTCTTACTCTATGAGAGAAAATCAAATACAAATCCTTTAATGTGGTGAAACAAACAAGCTGTATTCTTTCCATGTGACTGACCTTGGCAACCCTGATCGTTGATACTCAAGTAAGAGGATAAATCTACTTAGAA